AGCAGAAAAAAAATTTTTATATCCTCCCCCCCCCCCCGCTATATTTTTAATTAATGAAAATTATATGCTTTTACTGAGACTGCTCTGAGATACACTCACACACACACACACAGACACACACACACACACACACACACACACACACACACACACACACACACGCACGCACGCACGCACACACACACGCACACACACGTGTGTGCGCGCAGCCCGGGAAACTCCGCATGAGCATGAGCAATGCATTTCATCGCAAGGACTCAACTTCCGCTGATTCTCGGCAGCAGGACAGTTTCTCCGGTTCACCCGCTGCCATTGAAGACCCTCTGGCCTCCTCTCCTTACTCCGTCTTTGCGCCGCGTCACGGCTCGTGCGTTTGTATTGCCGGCGTGTTTTGTTGTTTTTGGGGTGTTGGTATTTCGCCGCTGATGCGTGCCCTGGCCCTTTCTCGCTGTCTCTGCCTGCCTGTCTGTCTGTCTGTCTGTATGTCTGTGTGTCTGTGTGTCTGTGTGTCTGTGTGTCTGTGTGTCTGTGTGTCTATCTGTGTGTCTGTGTGTCTGTGTGTCTGTCTATATGCCTCTCACCCACTCTCTCAATACACACACACACACACACGCACACACTTTCTCTGACATCACACATTTGAGTGTGTCCCCTGTTCATGGCGTGTTGTTTCATCCTTACCACTCTCACCCCATTCCCTGTGCTTCCCTCCACGCCCTCCCCCCTGCGCATCACATCGCATCTTGCAATCAAACACCACGCGACAACAGGTTTCTTGGGACAGATCCCAACTCGCCTCACGCCCACCGCCAACACCGCAGCGCCACGGAGGTTGGGCCTTGCCTGCAGGCAAGATATGCCCAGCGGGCGCAGCACAGCACCCGCGACGGCAGCACTGGCGATGCTGCCGATGGCGGCGATGATAATGGTGATGGTGATGATGATGGAAGTCAGTTTGCACAACGCTCACCGTTGGATGATGTGCTAGAGGAGGAGGAGGAGGAGGAAGAAGAAGAAGAAGAAGAAGAAGAAGAAGAAGAAGAAGAAGAAGAAGAAGAAGAAGAAGAAGAAGTAAGCAGTGATGGGGAAGGGGACGAAGAGGAAGTCGACGACGAGGAGGAAGAGGAAGATGGAAGGGGTGGAAGGAACCAAACAGAAGCAGGTGGTGTTATCGAGGTTGTCCCAGCATGTGACTCAACCGGTGTGGCCGCTGCACCCTCGAGCGATCACGACGACAACGTCAGTGAAACTGGTGGTGGTGGTGGTGGTGATGATGATGATGGCAACGCCGAAGACGGCGCCGCTGGCGATGATGCGACCACGACCACGAGCACGAGCACGAGCATGGCAGCAGCCGCAGCAGTTGTTGATGCCAGTGCTGATGACAACGACAACGACGATGACTATGATGATGATGATGATGATGATGATGATGATGATGATGATGATGATGATGATGATGATGATGATGATGATGATGATGATGATGATGATGATGATGATGTGTCTGAGCAGCCGCACGTGGTGGTGGATGAGGATGAAGACGTGGATGAGATACTGGCACGACTGGAAACAAGCTCAGAGGAGGAGGAAGATGAAGATGAAGATGAGGAAGAAGAGGAAGAAGAAGAAGGGGTTGAGGAGGGGCACGAAGAACGGGAGGAGGAGGACGACGATGCAAGGGAGCACGATGAGCTTGCTGACATGGTGCGTGGAAAGGTCGTGTGGCCACTGGAAGGGCGGGCAACGCGTGATGGCGTGCTTACAGGCAACCTCGATGGCAACGACACCGCCCCCGCAGCTGCGGACATCAGGCATGCCGGTGACGGTGACGGCGGTGTAAGGGCTGGAGTGTCATCAGCCCATGATGGACAGCAGGCACCACAACAACAAGAACAACTACAACGACGACAACAACAACAACAAGGAGAAGAACAAGAACAAGAACAACAACAACAACAACAACAACAAGAACAAGAACAACAACAACAACAAGAACAAGAACAAGATCATGGGGACACGCCGCCTGTTCCACCCGCGCGCACACGCACATGGAGCATGCAGAGACGTGCAGGCGCATCAGTCACCACGACACTGGCCTCACCTGCCACAGCAGTACCAATCATACACGCCACCACCACCACCACCACCACCACCAGCAGCAGAGAAGGTAGCAAGGACGACACCGGTGCTGGTGCTGGTGCTGACGATGGTGATGGTAATGGTGACGGTTGCGATGTTAGCGTTGCTGTTGATGGTGTTGATGGTGGTGTTGGTGTTTGTGTTGGTGGGTCGCGCGTGGCGAGCAATGCGTCGTCGCTTGGTGTCGGCATTATTGGGCGGGGCGCTTCCCTCCGCCTCTCATCGCGACTGCGGCCACACCGTGACATGGATGATTACGGTGATGATGATGACGATGATGATGATGACGATGATGATGATGACGATGATGATGAGGAAGATGCTGACGAGGAAGATGATGACGAGGAAGAAGAAGGGGAAGAAGAAGAAGAGGAAGGGGAGCATGAAGCTGATGGTGAAGGAAAAGTGGAAGCCGCCGCGAGAGTGGACGAAAGCGATGTGGCGGGCCCGTCGGCCACAACGTTCAGCGCAAGTACGGCGCCTGCACCAGCCACACCCACAGGCGCTGCCGCTGCTGTCACATCTGTCGGTGTGAGCACACAAGCTCAACAACAGCAACAACCTCAACAGCAACACAGCGGCGTGCAGGCAGTGGAGGCTGAGCAAGCGCACAGCAGTCACATGGGTGAGGGCACTACCAGCAGCAGCAGCAGCAGCAAGAAGGAGACGAAGAAGGAGACAAAGACCAAGAGCAAGAAGAAGAAGACAAAGAAGAAGAGCAAGAAGAAGGAGAAGAAGAAGGATAAGGAGGGGCGGGGCGGCAAGAAGGCGTCGCGGTTCAGTGCGCGGGGTTTGCTGGACATCGCCGATGCGCACTGGGCCGCGTTCCAGAGTCACATGAAGCGGCAGAAGAAGTTTCAGCAGTCGTCCACACGCCGCTCGCGACAGGCCAAACACCAATCTCGCCAACAGCAGCAGCAGCAGCAGCAGCAGCAGCAGCAGCAGCAGCAGCAGCAGCAGCAGCACGTCTCTCAACAACCCATGCAGCCCACGCACCATCCCATGCAGCAGCAAGTACATGGTACAGCCGACCAACCGCCGCAGCACGAGCACGAGCACGAGCACTTGCATCAGCAGCAACAACAGCTACAACAGCAACACGAACAGCTACAACAGCAGCTTGTTGGTGATGACGCCCGACGGCTGAAGAAGGAGGCAAAGGAGCGAAAGAAGAGGGAGAAGAAAGAGAAGGAGAGGGCGAAGAAAGAGAAGAAGAAGCAGGAAAAGAAGGACAAGAAGGCAAAGAGGGAGCAGGAGAAGAAGGAGAAGAAGGACAAGAAGAAGGACAAGAAGAAGTTGAGGTTGAGGAGCACATCATCGTCAACTGATCACGATGCACCATTATCGCCAGCAACCCCCGCCGCCATGTCCCCCACGTCGCTGTCATCATCGTCCTTACGCGCCGCCAAGCAGCCGCTGGCGAGCCAGCGTTACCTCCACGCACGCCTCCAGGAGCAACACCAGCAGCAGCAGCAACAGCAGCAGCAGCAGCAACACCACCACCACCAGCAGCAGCAGCAGCACGGCAGCGGTGCTTCGGCCACCTCTCCAGTGCCCCCACCACGACAGCGACACTTTGCCAAACCAGCAGCCAATGGCGGTGGTCATGACGGCGACGATGGGCACGATAATGGTGGTGATGATGATGATGGTGCAGTGGCGTCGTCCCAGTCCCAATCCAGCCACCTGTTTGTGTCCCGGTTCTTCAGCTTGTACGATGAGGAGCAGTGTTGATGCGAGTGGTGGCGCATAGACTTGCTAAGCTGCCGACTTACATGCGGCAACTCGCTTTGTTGCTGACTTGGCTTCCTTTGCTCTTGCTGCTTGCATGACTTGCATGATACATTGTCATGTCATGTGTGATGTCGACCACATGCATACGTGCATGCTGTATGCGTGCTTCACTTTCATTACGTTGTGCGATTTTTGTTACATTACCACCGTTGCACACTTCAAACGCACCCTGACGGCAACAGCCGCATACTAAACGAAATGACGTATCGAAAGCGGACAATGAGGCCAGATGCGCCAGCAGAGGGAGGAGTTGAAGTTGGTGGTGGTGGTGGGAGGAGCTAGCGAGCTACAACTTGTGGTGTTTGCAAACAGAAAACTACAATCAATTTATGCTGTCGTTATTAAAATCCACAACAGGCAGAGCATCCACGACAACACAACCGACACACCTTCTTCTTCTCCAACCGCGGTCAACGAGCCAAGCAATCATGCCTCCCCCAAAGCCCCCAGCACCTGCGAAGCCAGGTGATAATGTGTGAACGGCGACAAGGAGAAAACAGAGACGGAGAGGGATGGTGTGGTTCATTGTGGTTGACATCGTGTACATGTGCTTGTGGTGCATGCATGGTGGGTGGGGGTTTGTTTTGTTTGGGTTGTTGTTCACTGTGATGAAATGATGGGCTGAACGACTGCGATGAATACCTTGGTGGTGGGGAGCGCCTCATGTCCGCTTCCTTGTTTGTGTTGCGTGTGTGTTTGCGCTCTTTCCTGTCTTGCAGGCAAGGTTTCCGTGTACCGCGCTCTCTACCCTTACACGGCGCAGCACGTAAGTGATGGATGGATGGATGGATGGATCGCTGTATCTTCCCTGAAACCGTTGCACGCGCACACACCATCACATCGCATTAACACGGCCTTCGAACACTTCAGCCGCACAAACGAGACACCCGCCGCACGCACACACAATACAGTACCGCGTAACGCAACAGCATGACAATAACAACAGCAAACACACACCCGCTCACGCACATTCTTACACCACTCACCTGCATGCGTGCTTCATTGTTTCCGCACATTGTAGGCGGATGAGCTGTCGTTTGAGGAAGGCGATCTCATCTACGTTCAGAAGCAGGTGGGGTGTGCATGCTTCTTTGCGTGCGTGCGTGTGTGCGTGCGTGTGTATGCTTCTGTGCATGCGTGTCTGCGTGGTGCTTTGGAAAGAAACCATCGTTTACACGCTGTGGTGCGCTGTGGAGGTGGTCGTGATCGTTGTGGAGGTGGTCGTGATGATTTCTGTTGTGTGCGTGCGTGCGTGCGTGCGTGTGTGTGTGTGTGTGTATGTTTGTGTGTGTGTGTGTGTGTGTGTGTGTGTGTGTGTGTGTGTG